CTCCTAACTTCATCTTCAACAAGCAGCAAAACCCTAACTTCAACAGGCAACCAGTTTCAACAAGCACAAACTTCATCTTTAACAAGCTTCAACAAGCAACCTCCAAAGGAGAATCAATTAGCAAGATCAGGTTGAAATGTTAAGTACTTAATGACAACCAAAGAAAGCCATTAAGAACTTAACATTATGAGAGAATGGCATCCTCAAAGTTCTACTCTTAAAGCATGCCATTCATCCCTCCAAAGGAGAGATATGGCTTCTTTAAGAGTACTTTATGTCATTGGATTGAATGGAGATGAACAATATACTCCACGTTTGAAGAAACAAGCAAAACTAATCTAATGCTCTTCCTAAAACCCTAGTTTCCCTAAGCTCCTGACAAGCATCCACAAGAGGAGAAATCTTCACATCCAAGCTTCTTCAAGCACTCCAAAGCATCTTCAATTGGTCTTCATCTTCATCCAAAAGCAAAGGCACCACCACTTATTCTAAAGGGGAACTATTGGGTTAAACTAGTCAAGTTAGTGTGTTAGAAACTCCTAAATGTTAGTCTTAAAACTAAATCTAATTAAAATAATAAAAATGATTGTAAAATCCTATAAAAATTCTAAGGGTTCCTAAACCTCTTAAGAATCACTCCATACAAAAACCAGGGGGTTAACCAATCATTAAATCCTAAAACTATGCCCTAAACCTAAGGGTACTATCTTAAAACCCTAATCTAAACCACCTATTGTTTAATGTTCAAACTAGCCTAAATTTATCTCATAAAATTATGAGAAAAATACTAAGGTACATGCATATCTAAGCTAACTATACCAAAAAGAATCAACTCAAAAATCCACACATGGCTTTGAAGTTCTATAAATCCTTGAGGACTTCTAGTACTCAAATTAAAGGTATTGATATTCTCTACAAGTTTCATGTTGGCCAAAAATCCATTTGAAACTTGTATTTTGACTTATATGGCTTTGAAGTTAGGCATTAAACAGGGGATTTTACACTGAAACCCTAATTTAGCAACTTCCCACATTCTTGATTCTTCTTTGCTTGATCTTGGCACAACACCACACATGTATCAACATACCATTCCATGAACCCCATGACCTCAAAGTAGGCTTTGATGCTCTTCAATTGCACAATTGACCTAGGGTTGATCCAACTGAAACCCTAGTTGACTGTACCTCAACTGTGGCTCTTGTACTTGAATCACTGACTTGTCTCAGCTTCAATATGGCCCTCTAGGAATTCCATGAGATCCATACACACCTAAAATTCACATTCCATGTTTCACATCCCACTGATGATTCTCAATATTCCTCAAGATAGGAGCAAAACCCACATGTAGGCACTCAAACTTCTCAAGACTTCAAATCACTTCTTGATGGCCTGGATGACTTCTCAATCTTGGATAAAACCTCTTGCTAGGCTCTTCTCTTGATAGACACCCTTGATCCCTTGTTGGATGCATGCTATGCTATGATATGTCAATGATTGAACTATGTACATGATGTAACTATGCAAATGAAATGCAATGAAAAATAAATCAGGCAAGAAAAGGTTGAGCAAATTTTGGGGTGCAACAAATAGCTCTGTCAATTCTAGTATATATGGTATTCTGGCTATTTTTGTTAGACCAAGTGTAGTGGCACCCCTTGGTTAAAGCTTCAAACAACCTTAAGTTTTGCGTCATCTCTGCCAGGTCTTTGTACTCATTAGCTTGCACAGGGTTCCCCCCAACCATATCATTGCTAGCAAGAACATTGTTATAATCTCTTATAACAATCCAAGGACAGTTCATGTTCTCACCAATTTTCTCAATATCATGCCACAAAGATCTTATATGCTCAAGGGCATTGTATGCATAAATGATAGTCAACATGTGAATGAGTCTCTTGTCAAGGCCATACACTTCAACATGAATAAGTTGGGTTGTTATATGCATGAATTTAATGTTCACATAGCTAGTGTCCGACATCAGCCATATCCTACCATTCTCATGGTCCCTAGTTTCAAGCAAGGCAATAATGGGCACATGGAAATCACACACACACACACACACACACACACACACACAGGCAGATCTCTCTATGACTAGCCTTATTATTCATGCCCCTCACATTCCATGTCACGATCATGGGAGGGGTCCCCTATAAGACAATCTCCAATCTTTAGGGGCTTGAAATTATTATGGCAGAACATATCAACTTCAGGCACAGGGGTTTTCCAGTTATTTACTATAGGGGTTTTTCCTTTATCCTTCCTCCCTTTTTTCACCACTATCTAGCCTGCTATAGGCTGAGTAATGGTGTTTTCATCATTAGCTATAGGGGTATAGTGTAGTATTGGTTCAGGAAAGGTAGCTTTTGGCTTCCATACCTTCTCAATTTTCTGAGTAGGAGCAAATTTCTTGAGAGCACAATCATGACCAATCTTCAAGCATATTTTACAATAGTTTGGTTTTCATTCATACTCAATTATTTGCTTCAGCATCTTTCCATTATGGTCCTTGATCCAAACATGATCTTTAGGCATTTGTGTGATGTCTACTTCTACAAGCACTCTAGCATAAGAAATTCTCAATTTTCTTGCTGTGCACTCATCAGTGGTGATTGGCTTCCCAATGGCACTAGCTATCTTGGAGATGCTCTTCTTACCCCATAAGTGTAGTGGCAGGTGTGGCATGGTGATCCATAAGGGGAGAACACGCAGCAGATCCTCTTTCATCTCAAACTCAGAGGACCAATCTCCTATGAATAGAGGAAGTCCAAATATGAAAAATGGCCCTTGTCCCATCACTTTGTATCTATCTTCCAATGATTTGAACCTTGCAATGAAGTAAATCGTGTCATTCTAGTATAGATTTAGCATAGCTACAAAATCCCAAGTCTTCTCCATGAATGTTTTCATTGCATTTATTGAGAGTGTTTCACCTATTGCAAACCAGATCAATGTTGTTTCCCAGAATTTCATCTCTTCTTCAACATCAGTTTCATCAATGAGAATTTCTATTTCTCCATTCCCCAATGTTGGAGCCACATACTCCACAGTCAGGCCTTTGTTATAGTCTTTGTTTCCTTGAATAATATCCACCCAAGGTTTGTCACCCGGGGGCTTTTCATCAAACAGTTTGGCTGCATTGTTCCACCCTTTACTCTTGTGCTTTTTCTCAAACAGTTCCTCAGCATTCTTCAAACATGGCTCTTCTGTCTCAAGCACTTTCGTGTCCTGATCATCGTCTTCTTTCTCCCGCGTCCTCCCTGGAGGAGATTCTATTTCCACCAGATGTTCTGTTGAATTACCATTTTCACTTCCACATTCTTCATCATTATTTGTTGTTGCTTCAGTTTCTTTTCTTCCACAAGTGTCTTTTTCAACAATTGCATGAGTGATAAATGTCCTCTCCGCAACTTTTGGACGTGCCACCACCTCTCTCTTTGGCCGGCCAACCCGTCATTTGGTTATGGTATGGTGCGCCAGAAATCTCCAACCACCGCACCGGAAATCGCCCTATGAGTGTTGTTTCGATATATATTATGTAGATGTATTTTTATAGTTGTGTTTTCAGTTTTGTTAATCTTAAAAATTTTCAATTTATATAATTTTTAATTTTTAATAAAATTCAGCTTTTACTATTTATAGTTACACTCTACTAAAAAAAATTACAGTTACACCAAAAGAGTCTACCTCCATTATATAACCCACTAACTCCAATGTCATTAACTCATTACTCATATATTTTCTTTTTATGGTTTCTTGATTGTTTCGATAGTTGTCAAAAAAGTTTTATAAACAAGAACAAGAGAAAGTCCTCAAATTTGACCATATGTTGGCACTTACATTACAATCACGTCCACATATCCAATAAACTCTAATTTATATAGATTTTGAAATTAAAATTTTTCACTATCATTAAGTATGTACAAACATAATAATTTTATCTTGGATATCAAATTGATTGTAGCAATCGAATCATGAATTATTTTTCTCTTCACAGTAGTCATTTATGATATTTCTTTTCCACATAATTTCATTCGTTATTTATTCATTTAATATCTCTTTTTCATGTGATAGTTTTTACTAAGGAGTTAAATTGTGTTAAAATTGCATAAAATCTAAAAGCAAAACTTGAAGCTATGCTCAAGGTTAAATCTTGTTCTTTCTTATTTTTTGTTTTTTGTTTTATTATATAAAAAAATTAATCTGTATTTTAACTTATTATCAATGTGTTTTAGTTTATTAGTGTAGTAAGAAAAATAAAAGTTGTAATAAAGTGGTGGAGAAGAGATCAATAAAAACCACAAAATAATAGTGTTTTTGGAGGAAAGTTATATTTTTGAGTTGTATAAAGTTGAAAAATACATTACAAATATATAGAGGCAAGCAATAAGCTTGTCATAGTGAAAATAAAATCCAAAGTAAAATTACTCTAAATAGTAGGTATCTTTAGCTTTTGTCTACTTTATTATCTTAACAAGAATCTAATAATTATAGTAATAAAAAGTAAAGTAATACAATAAGTAAAATAATTAATATGTTAGAAAAATATCAATTTCTAAAACTCCTCATTGAGATTTTTCTTGAATACTCTAAGTATTGATCTCAATTATTCAAACTTTTTCTTGAAAAGAGCTTTGGTTATTATATCTACAATTTGATTTTTTGAATTGCAATTCTTTAAACTAATTTTCTTTGACTTTTTAGCTTCTCTAATAGCATGCTATTTAACCTTGATGTGTTTGATTCTTACACGCTAGACTGGATTCTTAGCTATGGCAATAGCAGATTTGTTATCCACTCATATGACAATAGCTTTGTTTTAAGATTGTCCCACATCTGATAAAATTTTCCTTAGCCAAATAGTTTGATTTTTTGCGAAAATAACAGAAATATACTTTACTTCAGCTGATGATTGGGCGACAATTTCTTGTTTCTTTGAATTCCATGAGAGCACAAACTGCCAAATGAGAAAACATAATCAGATTTACTTTTTGCATCATCTACACTTTCATCCCAGTCACTAACCACATATCCTTGAAGGTATCCACTTCATTTTTCAGAAAATACAAACCATAATCAGTAGTACCGTTTATGTACCTCAAAACTCTCTTAGTTGCAACAAGATGAACTTGAATTGGAGAATGCATGAACCTGAAAAGTAAACTAGCAGCAAACGTTATATTAGGTCTGATCGCTGAAAGATACAAAAAACTTCTAATTATACTTATATGAATAGAAGCATTTGTACTATTATCACCATCATCCTTTGATGATTTTTCATTCACAACCAGAGGTGTGGAAGCAGACTTGCATTTATCAATATGAAACTTCATTAACACCTCCAAAGCATATTTATTTTGTGAAATGAAGATTCCAGGATTTGATTGAAATATCTCAATTCCAAGAAAATATTTTATTTCACTCAAATTTTTCATCTCAAATTCATTCTCCATAGCTTGCTTGAATTGACTTAGAGAATTGGATTCATTCCCTATAACCAATAAATCATCAACATACAATGACACCATTAGTTGCACTTCATTCTTTGACCTCTTCACATACAAAGTTGCCTCGTTTTTACTTCTTTTAAAAGCTCTTTTCAGAGGATAGGCGTCAATTATGCTATAGCATGTTCTTGGTGCTTGTTTTAAGTCATAGAGAGTTTTGTGAAGCTTGTAAACTTTATTTTTACTTCCTACAACCTTAAAACCTTCAGGTTGGTCGACACAAATGTCTTCATCAAGCAACCCATTCAAAAAAGCTGATTTAACATCAAAAAGATAAATTTTTCATCCCAATTTTGCTGCTAAGGCAACTAATAACCTAATTGTATCATATCTTACAACATGTGCAAAAGTGTCTGAGAAATCAACACCATGTTGTTGAAAATAACCTTTTACCACCAATAGGAATTTAAATTTATTTATAGAACCATCAGGATTGAGTTTGGTTTTATAAACCCACTTAATGTTAGAACATAGATTGGTGTTTACTTATATCTCTATGTTTTGATGATAACTCTAATGGAATTTTGTATTAAGAAAATATATACTCTAATTTTGTTCAAGTATTTTTGTTTCAGATATTAAATTAAATATTCTTATGGAAGCAAAAATGCATCTGAACAGTAGTCTATGCAAAGCTCTGAAGCATTAAAAGCAAGCCATCAGAAGACTCTAAACACTGCCAGAAGAGACTCTGAAGCAGAAGCTGCAGAAGCATCCGAAGCATAGCTGAAGAGTTTGTATGAAGAGTTTTCAAGCATTGTTTCAGAAGACTCTGAATGTACTTTACGCTGCAAGTACAGAGGCTCTGAAAAACAGTTATGCTCTGATCAAATTACTCACACTGAAGCACTATTGCTGCAACTCTGATATCATTTAATCTGATCTGAAGAACAAGAAGCACATCAGAGGATCTGATGTTGTTTACGTTTGAAAAGATGTCAGCACGTGAATAGACTTAGTACTATTCTCAACGTCTTCTCCAACGAAACTATTCCTTATTTGTGATAGACACAAGGATTCAAGCAAAAGGAATTTCTCTGAACATTCTACATCTGAGAAAGGAAAAGTCATGTGAAGACAAAAGGCTACAGCTACTCTACTTGCACAGTCTTCAAGCATTGGACTTTTAGCACTATAAAAGGACGTCTTCAACATCTCTTCAAGGTTAACGAATTATTGACAAACTCATTGAAATTATTCAACAACTCTCATACAATCTTTCTTACTCAAAGCTGAATAGCTTTTATTCGTTCTTAACTTAAGTGTAAAAATCACAGTTTGTGATATAGCTTTTTAGAAGCATCTTAAACACTTGTTTAGTTTACATTAATTTGTAAAAGGTTCCTTAAGAAGACCAAGTTATGGTCAGGATTTCTTGAGAGGACTAAGATAGTTGTTCTTAGTGGTTGACACTGTAATCTGTTTGAATATAGTGGATTAAGTCCTTGTGGAGAAAGGCAAATCACTCTTGATAGGGTGGACTGGATTAGTTGAGTTCAACGAACCAGGATAAAAAGCTTGTGTTGTTTTTATTGCCATAATATTTTCTAAACCCTTATTCAACCCCCCCCCCCCTTCTAAGTGTTTTTCTCACCTTCAGTTGGCATCAGAGCTCCGGTTCTGTTAGTGCTCTCACTTCACCGTGAACAGAAAAGATCCAGTTGAGAAAACTCTTGATAGTTTTTGGTTGATACATTATGGCTGAAGCTTCAACATCCAACAACAACAGATATGAGGACAGAGATAGAATCAGCACAAAACCCCCTATGTTTGATGGGGAGAAGTTTGACTACTGGAAAGACATGATTGAAAGCTTCTTTCTAGGATATGATGCTGACCTTTGTGATTTAGTCATTGATGGCTATGTTCACCCCACTGATGGGGATGGCAAAAAGATAGACAGAAAATCTATGACTGAAGCTCAGAAGAAAGAATTCAGGAATCATCATAAAGCAAGAACCATACTACTAAATGATATATCTCATACCGAGTATGAGAAAATTACTAACAGAGAAACAACATTTGGTATGTTTGAATCTTTGAAGATGACTCATGAAGGGAATTCTCAAGTCAAGGAGACCAAGGCTCTGGCGCTGATCCAGAAATATGAAGCCTTCAAAATGGAGGAATCTGAATCTGTTGAAGTTATGTTCTCTAGATTCCAGATTCTCACAGCTGGCTTGAATGTTCTGGACAAGGGTTACTCCACTACAGATCATGTTAAGAAGATCATCAGAAGTTTGCCAATCAGATGGAGACCAATGGTCACTGCTCTGAAGCTAGCAAAGGATCTAAACAAGATCACGCTAGAGGAACTGATCAACTCTCTGAGGAGTCATGAGATTGAACTAGAAGAAGACGAACCCCAGAAAAAGGTAAGTCTGTTGCTTTAAAGTCTAACAAATTTGCCAAAGCTTTGCAGGTTTTAGAAGAATGTTCTGAAGAATCGTCTTTTGAAGAAGAAGATGAATTGTCCTTGCTGTCCAGAAGGATCAACAAACTCTGGAAGCATAAATAGAGGAAGTTCAAGAACTTCAAGAAACCAGATCAATCAAAAGATTCTTCTGGACACAGAAGATCTGGAAAGAAAGAGGTTGTCTGCTATAAATGCAAGGAACCTGGGCACTACAAGAATGAATGCCCAAAGCTTCAAAAGGAGAAGCCAAGAAGGAAGTATGATCATAAAAAGAAAGTTCTGATGGCAACATGGGATGATTCAGATGCATCTGAATCTTCATCAGACTCAGATGAAGAATGTGCAAACATGGCACTCATGGCTGACGTAGAAGACCATGCAGAAACATCTAGATCAGAATCAGAATCAGAATCAGATTCTGAGGAGGTATTTTCTGAACTTTCTAGAGCAGAGCTTATTGAGAGTTTATCAGAAATGTTAGAAAACTATAGTAAGATTAAGCTCAAGTACACGAAGCTTGAAAGCAATCTTGTATCTGAGAATGATCTTTTGAAATCAGAAGTTGCTGAGCTCAAAGCAAACAATTTGAAAATTAAAAATGAATTAGAAAGAGCTCAACAAGATTCTGAAGTTGAAACTAAGTCAAAATCTAAAAAAATTTTAGAGGAATATGACTATAGTTTTCAGAGATTTCTGGCAAGAAGCCTAGAGAGAAGCAAGATGTCTTTAATGATCTATGGTGTAAGCAGAAATAACAAGAAGGGTATTGGATATGAATCTTCTTCTGAGAAAGATTTAAATCCAACATCTGTTGATAAACTAATCATTAAGTATACTCCTCTGTATTCTACTTTTAAGTTTGGTCATCTTAATGATATTAAACACACACGTTCTGGTCAGAACATTCTTGTGTTTAAACCTAAAGTTAGTCAGAACAAACCTGCTGTCAGAAGACAGAAGTTCATACAAAACTTTAAGGCAACTAACCCTAAAGAACCCAAAAGGATCTGGGTACCTAAAGACAAAATAATACATGTTGCAGATATCTTTAGCAGCAAAGTCAAAACACCAATCTTGGTACCTAGACTCTGGCTGCTCGCGTCACATGACGGGAAAAAGGTCTATGTTCCAAAGCCTGGAACTTAGATCTGGAGGAGACGTCAAGTTTGGAGGGAACCAGAGGGGCAAGATAGTTGGCTCTGGAACTATTGGCAATAGTAATCTTCCTTCCATTTCTAATGTCTTACTTGTTGAAGGATTAAGACATAACTTATTGTCCATAAGTCAATTAAGTGACAATGGTTATGACATAATCTTCAATCAAAAATGTTGCAAGGCTGTCAGTCAAAAGGATGGCTCAATCCTATTTAATGGAAAGAGGAAGAACAACATTTATAAAATCAATCTTTCAGAACTTAAGGTTCAGAACGTAAAATGCCTTATGTCTGTTAATGATGAGCAATGAGTCTGGCACAGAAGATTGGGGCATATTAGTATGAGATGTATATCTCAGATTAATAAACTCAATATGGTCAGAGGACTTCCTAAGTTGAAGTTCAACTCAGATGCTCTTTGTGAAGCATGTCAAAAAGGAAAATTTTCAAAATCTTCTTTTAAAACTAAAAATGTTGTTTCAACCTCAAGACCATTAGAGTTACTTCATATTGATCTGTTTGGACCAGTGAAAACTGCATCCATCAGAGGTAAGAAGTATTGATTAGTCATTGTTGATGATTACAGCAGATGGACATGGGTGAAATTCCTAAAACACAAGGATGAGTCACATTCTGTGTTCTTTGACTTCTGCAAACAAGTCCAGAATGAAAAAGATTTTAAAATTGTTAAAGTCAGAAGTGATCATGGAGGTGAATTTGAAAACAAATATTTTGAAAAATATTTTAATGAAAATGGCATTGCACATGATTTCTCCTGCCCTAGAATTCCACAACAAAATGGAGTTGTAGAGAGAAAAAATAGAACATTGCAAGAAATGGCCAGAACCATGATCAACGAGACTAATCTGGCAAAACATTTTTGGGCAGAAGCAATAAACACAGCTTGTTATATTCAGAACAGAGTGTCTGTAAGACCTCTTCTAGAAAATACTCCCTATGAATTATGGAGGAATAGAAAGCCCAACATTTCTTATTTCCATCCTTTTGGATGTGTATGTTTTATGTTGAATACTAAAGAGAATTTGAACAAGTTTGATTCTAAAGCACAAAAGTGTTTCATGCTTGGGTATTCTGAACGCTCTAAAGGCTACAGAGTATATAATACTGAGACACAGATTGTGGAGGAATCAATACATGTTAGATTTGATGATAATCTTGGCAATCAAAAGCCAAAGTAGCTTGTTAATTCTGCAGATAGAGAAGTAATTCTCACAGACTCTGAAGACTCAGAGGCA